AAGGTATTGAGCTCTAGAATACGAATATCGATGTTTCAGGGGTCGACGACCTCATTTAGTGCCATCTATGGCCATAAAACTGAATTTTGACCCTTTTCTTGAAAGGACCATATTTTGAAGACAGGTGGACCGATTTTCGAATTTTTTTTTTTCTTGATCTATGGCCCAAGGGCTTTCCAACCATACAACAATCGCGGCTGAAGGCCTTCCAGGTCAGAATTTGGAAATTATTTGGACATTACGTGTATATATAGCAAGTCGACTTTTCAACACACTAATGTGGTTTCGTCACTCGCGCGTACTGCCGTCCGCTGTGATAGAAAACATACTGAGAACATTATTTATCTCTTTCAAAACTATTAGATGTAAGAATATAATTATTTTGTATTTATTTAAAATATATTAAATAAACCACCAAGGCGGAGGAACGCTATTCGGTGCAGTTATTATTATTATTATAAAAGCTAACGACCATGCAAGATTGTGTGTGTGAATTTTATAGATTAGCTATCATCATGAAACTTTACCACCGATAAAATTCGATTTATTGTGTCTTGGTCAAAGATTCACATTATTATTACAATATCATAAAAGCATGGCAAGAATTACATTCATTTATTGTATATAAATACAAGAATTTACATTTTTAGTAAATTTTGTATGACAAGTATTTTTAAAACGATTTATATCGCAAAACTTCCGTCAGATTCAATTTCCTCATAAATAAATATTACATCAAAAGATATGCATATAATAAATGCGTTTCGTGGATCAAAGTGCGGAAAAATTCATCTAACGCAGTTAATCTTTCGTTCTTCATTTTATTTTATTTTTCGATTCAACTAAATTTTTAAAAATCAAATTCGGGATGACATATTTAAAAGATATAGTAGTTCCCTATCCAATATGAAAGGCACTGGTTTTTTATGAGCACCGTTTTTACTAAGTCGATTTGCCCCATTTTTTAAACTACGCTAGCTTGATGCTATTTGAACAGGTTTCACTTTGTGTCAAAATCTTGTGTATTATTTTTTTCAACATTCTCCAAATAATATATATTTGTCATTGTGTGCAGTTGTTTAAGCTTATATAACCTCGAATTGACTCAAAAATATTTGGTACGGTAAAAAATGGAACCAACTTTCAATTTGCAGATAAAAATATGAATTCGAAGTATTTCATCGATATATTTAATTTACCCGTCCAGTTGCAAGCAAAATTGGTTTTGGTGCTTGACAAATGATGTCAGCTTCAGTGGGAGGAGCTAAAAAATTCCGCACAGCATTCCATAAAGGATTATCAGTAGTAGTTCCTTGAGTGAAATCCATTACACCTGTGAAATTTTTCCAAATATAAGCAAAATAAAATAAAGTAAGGTTTAATAGAACATACCCGGACCATCTGTGGTACCAGCTGCAAAACTGTAGCCCATTGCTGGGGAGCACCCACTCACCTGCAAGTATTGAAAATTTTAAATACATTTTCATAATACCTTTTGCCATCGTAACTAACCGTTTCACTTGCATTCTTCGTAAGATTGAAAAATTGCACTTGAGCAGTGCTCATATCTATAAATTGATGAACATATTTCACGTGTCCAGTAATTTCTCGGCCAGCTCTTTTGTCTATTAAGCGTTTTGCACCTTCAAAAAGTTTCGTTGCAATAATTTTACAACTTTCAAATTGATTTTTCCCCGGCCCGGTTGCAAAACAAGCCCCTTCAGATGGTGGACATGATGACGTCAGTATATCACAAGGCATACCGGAGTATTCACATTTTGGACCATTTGTATTTGGAGACGAATCTCCTAAATTCGACGAAGCGAAACAAGCAACAATTTTGCCTTTTCCAATTGTAGCTTCAGGATTCAATTCTTTCTCCAACAGAATAGAAGCATATCCCACGTTATCACTCGTTACCAATTTGTTTGTATTATTCATTGATGTTGGATGAACTGCAAACCAATTTATCACACCAATGTATTGATTGTTTTCGCCAATTAATTGTAATTGAGTCAATGTTTTATCAGTGTCATATTTGTACCTACATACAATGTTTAATTGAAATGTTAAAAGAGTGCATTGATTGGAATATAAATAAAAAAAAAAAAATTAAAGCTGAAATATTAATCGTCACATTTTTTTCAAAGAAAATTTGTTGTTAAAACTACCTTTGGCAAATCTTGTTTTTTCTTCTAAACATAATCGAAAAATCTAAGTTCCATTTCAAATTGCACTTTCATTTTATACTTTCTAACTACGTTAATGCGAACAATTGTTGATATCTAAAACCTATCATCCTGTCTATCGCGATTGGAAATAAAAAATGGATCATCTGGGGCGTATCCAGAACTTAATGACAGGAGGATTTTTTCAAGCATTTCTGCTGATGCTACCTCAATTGGGCGACTTGAACGATGTTCATCACTTGTTCTTGTTCGACCACGTTTAAATTCACATCCAGTATTTAACCATTTTATCTGATGAAGCAATCGAAAATATATAAAACTAATGAATAAAACTAAACGAAAAGAGTGAAAAAAAGTCTCCTCTCTTCTAAAAGAGTATTCTACTGACTTGGGATGTTTTCAAATTTGACATGTGATCGTCTGAAGGGTTGATCTGATTGCCAATAAGAACTACCTTACACCTAGTGTGTAAGGTAAAGTATTGGAATCGCTCGAAAAATTAACACCCATCAAAAATGTGTTTTCTAGGTGTTTTTGGGGCCAGGGAACACGAATCTAGCGTTTTTTCGATGTCCGAATGTATACCCTGTATCCTGTACCCTGTATCCTGTACCCTGTACCCTGTACGCAAAAATTCGTTAACACGATAACTTTCAAACAAGAAAAGTAATTCAAAATCTGACTTCACAGGATGATTGGGGGTGCCGAGGAATAGAAACCATTAGATTTTGAGCGACTTTGGTTGACAGAGTGAAGTGTCATGTCTGGTGTGATGCCCATGGCCATCCATGGGAAAAATTCAATTTTTCTTCCAAAAGTGATATTTAATGTATTCTTTAACACTCAAAAATATGTATGGGGGGGGGGGGGGGTTTTGGGTACGAGAAAACCGAATATGACGTTAGTTTTAATAACTTTCGACATACTTTTCATACAAAAATGTCAAAAAATTGAATTTATGTATGGAAGCCATGCCTGTATGATATCGTAATAAGCTAAAACTTTGCACAGGTTATTTTTATCACAAAAAATACCATTTCGAGAAAAATACCATTCCATATTTGGAAACAATTTGACAGCTGACTTGACAGGTTGCATTTTCAATACCGTGCCAAACAAAATAATTTAAATCGAGAATAATAATAGGAATTACAAATAGTATATCAAAATAAGTAAAAAACACTTCTTTGGAAGTTCTCACTGTGACGCAATACTGCACATCAAATCTGAAAATGATCTGATATAAATTTTCAGTGACGCTTGCAATCAAATAATCAAACAATTTTTATATTGTGTTGCCTCTCTCATTATTAGAAAATTAAAAATGAAAATTTCATTGTGATAATGCCCAAGAGGCAACGCAATATAAAAATTGTTTGTGTATTTGATTGCAAGCGTCACTGAAAATTTATATCAGATCATTTTCAGATTTGATGTGCAGTATTGCGTCACAGTGAGAACTTCCAAAGAAGTGTTTTTTACTTATATCATTTGTTTTAACATTAAATTTAATTTTTCTGTTTGAAATGTACAAAAAAATTTCGCTCGCTACGCTCGCCTTTATTTTATATATTCTTTTATTGTATTCATATATTGATATTCATCACATTGAAAATCATGAATATTTATATTAATCGATTTCTTGCAATGCACGCCAATTTTGTTTTGCTTTCTGCCATACTTTTATAATTTGTTTTTACATTGAATTAGAGTTTTATGTTTGCTCTCGAATCTTTTTTTTTTTGCATTTTTAATTGTTTTTGTAAAATTTCGAAACAAAAGGAGAAATTTCTACGGTGAATTCGTAGTATGTATGGTTACCAAATCTATTCAAAACTAATTGCACCGATGTTTTAATTCATTTTTTTTCAATTGAATAAAGCCCTCAAAACATCATTTCAAGGTGTAGTTTCCTGGTTATTTAAAAAATCTTAAAAAGGTGGTCCGACAAATACAGGTTTTTTCGAATTTTGACCAATTTTGAAAAATGTTGGTTTCAAAAAATGTGCACATTGGTTCAAAATTGAGTGCTCTTTCGATTTATGACAAAAAAAACGTTATTCACACATTTTTTTTAACAAAATTACGATTTTCATCGATTTTTCCCCATTTTTATATAGTATGGTCATAAATGGATTGAACCATGTCCACTGAATTTTTTTCAAAATTTCTTCACTGTATGCTCTTGGGGAGCTCAATATCTTGCCAAAGAGCCAAAAATGACGTATCATTGTTGAAGAACACCCCTTGTACCATAATCTAGAAATTCTCCAAAAATCGAAAATTTTCGAAAAAAAAAAAATTTTGAAGAAAAAAATTGGTTCGTCACGAATTTTCCCAGATACACACACACCAAAACATCACAAATGTGGTCCCCTACAAACGCTCAGTTTTCCACCAGAAAACTATGTATGTAATTTTTTTAAATTTGGTTGGTGTGAAAAAAGTCATTTTCATTTTTCCAAAAAAACAACACATGCAGCGCCATCTAGCGATCATTTTAGAAATTTTTTCCAATCTGACGTCAGATCTGGATAGCTGAGGTTCGTAGCTTTCCAATGACATATAGATCATTACCTCACCTTTCATATGCACAGAAAATAGGTCATTCGATGAAAAACTGAAAAAATGCATTCCACTTTTTTTCGAACCCAGACCCTAGGCACTTGCGCGACGAAATCGAAAAATTCGAAGAGACATGTATGCTCAGTTTTCCATCTACTTTCGAATAAAATCGGTCTCCGGCGATTTAAGAAATGTCTCGGAAAAAAAATTGCCGACAAACAAACATATCATTTCAAAAATTTCGTATTTTTCGTAAGATTTTTTGACATGGTCATATCTCGGACACTTTTCGATCGACTCCAACAAAAAAATTTTTAATACTATCTACCCGAACTCCAGTTTCCGAATATGCCATTTTTCGGAAAATTGTTTCTGGTTTCGGTGTTCAAAAATGGACAAAACCAAAAATTTACCTTTTTTTTTAAAGCCACCTAGCGGTCAAATTTTGAATTTTTTTATTTTTTTTTGCGGATTCTTAATTTGGTGCCCGAGCACTACTAAAATATGCAAAAACCCCTTTCCAAAAGTTAGCGGTATCGATTTTCATTTCTTAACAGTATATATATAGAGTGACGCAAATATACATATATAATAATAATAATAATAGGAATAATAATAGGAATGCTTACTACATTCAATGATTATTATACGAAAAAAATACAAACAGTGATACTACTTTAATTGATTTAGAAGTAAATTTATCAACAGTCAAACTGAGAATTGAAAAATATTTAAAACAAAATAGATAGAATTGAATAGAAAACATACTGAGAAAATTATTAATCTCCTTCAAAACTACTAGATGTAAGAATATAATTTTGTATTTATTAAAAATATATTCAATAAACCACCAAAACGAAGGAACGCTGTTCGGTGCAGTAAGTATTATTATTTTAAAAAAAATAAATACATCGATAGAACAAGCATCGCCGCATACGGGAAAAGTGAAGTTCAGCGAAAAACGGAGAAAATTGTGGAAAAATAAATTTGAGAATCGTGTATGTGAGTGACTGGTGTTTTGTGTAGAGAACATAACCTACATAGAATTGGCAAAACACTC